CCGAAAACGCTCGGAAAGACTTTTTGTGAACTTAGCACATACATTTTGAAGGTTATTTCTTATTATTTTTGAGGCACGCAGTCCAGCTGCAGTGCCGAAGTAAGTTGTTCACAACTTAATGGACCGAAACGTCTTACCGCAGCACTTTTCTTTTTGATATCTCTTGTCTTTCTTACTTTTCTGAAATTTCAGCTCAGCTGTAGCATTTTGCATGTAAATCATTAATCATTGATAATCGTCAGAAATAGCTGCTCTTCCTGTTGTGAAATCATTTTTGAGTTGCTAGTATTCTTTGTCGCCAACGGAGCCCTTTCTCGAAAATTTTTTTAAACCGAGAGGGAATCGAATCAGTCGCCTTCACATCAGGACGCAACGCGGCATCACTACACCACCGGCCAAGAACAGTCTTCGAGAAAGGGCTTCGTTCGTGACATTCTCAGTGCTATGAAATGAACTCTCAGTTTTCTTATGCAAGCAAAGGATATGAGAACATCCTGAACGACTGCACTAGTTATAGCAAAAAATTAGCAGAAATGGAGTTAGCACTTAAGAAGTTTATAGCTCAGGATCGAAGGATTAAGCATAGCTGCACCCACAGAGCATGTGGGAGCAACCAGTGATATCACTAACACGGGATATCCAGACCAATTCTATCTGGACTGCTTTGAATTCCCGGTAATTGATAATATGACATTGAGCCAAACAAAACAACTTCGCAGTACCGGTAAAAGACCAGTATCTGTCGAAATCTCCTGCTACTGAAATGCATCTTGCGAAGTCAGAAATTCTTTAAAAGATTTAAAATATCTTTGCTACTTTTCAATTTCTCACATATCTGAGTGTCAGCTGTTCGTTAACGTCTTCAACTTCTAAGAAGTTTACTAAGAATTTTTCACTTTTTCAACTTCTAAGAATACACTACTAAAAATTTTTTCCGAACCGTTTGCAAAGTTAGAATTTGTTTTAAAGAATAGCAGCACAAAGTTGAGAGTACTTTGACTGAAACCACCTTTTAAATTTATTGCAACTGTCAGTGACAAGCGGGAAAATAAAAACAAATTAAATCCACTGATCAGATCATTTTGCGCATTTTTCCTGTAACCAGTGGGGATCACATATTACTAAAAGTGGTACCCACGAGAAAGTAAACAACTATCCAGGCAGCTCTTCGGAGAAATGCCAGACATGCTTAATACTAATGTGCAGGGTAGGACCAAAGGGCCTGGCATAGCTGCGCCAGAAGTTTGGAAGCATCCCAACTGCACCATTAATATGAGATATTCAAACTGATAAACCAGGTGGCTTTGGTACCCTTGATAACATTTAATATTTAGTACATTTAATGTTACTTTTTCACGGGTATCACTTATTTTAATATGCGATGCCCAACAGTTAGCAGCAAGATGATCCAAAAACACCTAGTCAGCTGATTTAAATATTAATAATTCTGTTGTCAGATGCATGATAGACAAAAATCAATTCTGTTGCCAGATACATGACTGGGCAATCAAACTGTAAGTTAACAACTATTTCGGTTATTCCGAAAATTAATCCTGTTTTCTCAACACAGTAAATTAAGTATCTGAAAACTTTTTGAAATGAAATAACCGTGCTGCAAGAAGGCACTGCTGCTAATTTGCCACATGGTGCAAATCGAAACAGAAGCTAGAAACAGAAGAAGCTGGAAGTAATTTGCATGCTTGTAGGGGGCGCGAGAGGGGGGGAGGGCATAAAACGAAACTGACACTTATATAGCATTAGCTGCTGCACACTTCGGTTCGACGATAGATGGATTTGGAACTCAATTAGCGTCGTTTTAGCATTTTACAAACAAACTTCCCTCATTCTCTCCTCTTCCGCCTAATATGGCTATTTTATCGCACCGATTCTATCGCTTTCAGTTTCCATTTCCTTCCGGGCACAGCTGTTTCTCTACTTACTTATTTACTGGACCACTTAAGAGAAACGGGGGAACTTCATACTTATCAAGCCAATTTTTTCCCAAGTTTTGCCTGCGCAGTGAAAGACGGCCTCTAAATAATAGGTTCTGTAGAGAGTGTCCCTCAAATGACATGTAGTTCCGTGAACGGCAACCTTTGTAAATGACGATTGTCGCTGTTGATAATCTCTGCGATTGAAGGAGCGGGACATTCTTTGGAAGAGAACCTCATTTGAAGACTCGCGCCGAAGGAATTTCTCAAATCTTACATCTGATAATTAAAAAAAATGAAAACAGTTCAAGAGTAATGACGTTGACGAACACTTTTTCTGGAAAATAAGAGAAAGTGCATGGATAATTTACAGTTTTTACGTGTGTTTTTTTTTTTGCATTTTTGGAGGCGCAGAAAATTAGACGGACGAAATTCTGTTCATTTTTCTACTTCTTTTTACTGACTATTTGTTTTTGCTGATGACTTAGTAATCCCCTCAGACGAAGAGGCGAAGTTATGGTAGCCAGCAGGCCGACCACTGGTCAAGGCAAATAACAGCTGCATAGCTGAGGAATTAGACCATACTTTACTGCTGGTCCACATATTCCTGGCATGTTTTCCTCTTTTTTTCAACTTCTCGAAAGAATTTTTACTGGATTTCAATCTGTGACCTCAGTTATAAGCCATCTGAGAATTTTGCTTCCCCAGAATCTACAGAGTCGGAAAATTGGTGTTTTGGCATAAAATTATCAAATAGTGGCTAAAAACTGTCTTATAAACTCCTTACATTTAACTTTTAGACTCATATTACTACTCTTTCACTCAGTTGCAGGATCATCTCAAAAAAAAAAATTCCGAGCTGAAGAAGCACGGTCAACGTATCTAACAGCCAATTCTTGCTGAGTAATTTAGCGCGAAAAATTCGCGCTTTTGCTAGCTGTTTATTATCTTTTCTGGAGTGACCGGCTTATTTAACAAGAATTTGATGCATATGGCTTAAAAATATGCATGTAGAAGCTTCGTACTTGCCTACATAGCTAACTGGCTCATTGCAGAACCGACGTAAGTTGGTGGTTGTACACGAGGAGCCACAGTATTCGCAGCTGAACACGCGTGGAGCACGGCCCTATACATTGTTCAAATCGATCTATACGAATAACACAGATCGACCTCAGGAATACTCGTTCAAAACCGAACGCAGCACCGAGAGCCTATGCAGCGTTTGTCGAGAGCAAGGATATATGATTGGTGGAGAAAGCGAGCTGACACTCAAAACACCATGTTTGTTCCTTTTAATTTTAAAGAGGCTTCTCTTCGTGAGGGAGAAATCTGAAGGCAAACTGATGAACATGACACGTCACAGGAATAAGGACGAAGGTATCTAATTTTATTCTTAAATGTGTCCTACGGTGAACTCAAGATTCCACTACTTCCATATTTTCTACCTTTTCCCTTACTAGCTTAGATGAATTGGTTCAGCTGCAATTTTGGTGTGATTCTCCCTCCAGCTGTGCAGATGGCAACTTTTCCAGTTACAATGGCCAATGCTGCATTGCTTTGTGGACAGCCTATTGGCGATTTCAATTTTTTTTAGTTTTTTTTATCATTTTAAACTGGAATGACCAGTCAAAATTTTGTTACATTTACTGTTTATGAATCATTTTCACAATGATAGAGGCGATACGGTAGGTGCCTGGGTCTGTAGCCAGTCTATTCCCGTGCTGTATCATTGTTATTCGGAAAGCTGTGCTGAATATCCAGAACGACCAAATAGCACAACAGATGTCAATTCAGAGGGAGAGAGAGAAACGCACATCTGAAACTGAACATTTTCCACTTTTAATGCATTTCTAATGCAAACATTTTGCAATTTGATAGGCTTTTATGGGGGCTGATTGTACTGGGGTAGTTTTTGGCCGGCGCTGGCCCTTGGAAAAGGGTTGATTTTGCAGGACAGACCGATCTAAATGCTTAATTGGTCAAGCCAACCATATGAGTACTTAACAAAGCAGTTTTATGATTCTGAAAACTGGCCATAATTATATTTTCCCTAACATTCGCTGATTTTAGAAGACAAATCAGGGTTACTTTTTAAGAATACAGATGGAATTCCCCGATTCACCATGTACGGGGGAATTTCACCTGTGTCCTTCAAAGAAGCGGAAGCTTCCAGAACAGCCCGAGTGACAGCAATTTGCTAATAGTAGCCATGAGCTGGCTTTCATTAGCACTTGTTGAGTCACTC